CGTGAACAAATACAGTTCATTATGAAATTTACCTCATAAAGGTAATAAAAGTACCAAAAGTCCTTCTCCTGTGTTGTGAAAGAAACAATAAAGAGATGTTTTGCAGTTTTGGAGGTAGCCTTTAATATGACTTTCTCCTTTTCACAGTCATGATTTTCATACTTCTAAAATTACGCTTCTGTCACGCACTGATTTAATCAGATAATTGCATTTAAATAGAGTAAACTCTCCAGAGCTGTCCCTACCTCACTCCACCAAAAAAAATGTCATTGTTGCTCATTTGATTCAACAGGCCTAGTCTTTGGGGGAATACATGCATCTTTGGCAGTTTTTCTGTTTGTTGTGCTTTAGACCTTTAGAGTTATTACAGACTTGCACATCTGTAGAGAAAGTCCAAATTAATTTTAATGATTTCACTGCAGTTATTTTTGTGATGCTTAACTTGTGCCGGAATAATGAGATGGATAGCTTGGAAGGACATGTAAAAGAGTTGAAACATGTGATTTCTTTTAGGAAGAGCAGGGCTCTGAAAGTACTTCAGTCTTGCAGCAGATGTCCTGTGCTGCCACTTATTTTGGTGCTAGGTTTTGGTTTTGTTTGTATGCTGGGACATTGCATGTCTGGGCAAGTATACTGAATAGCTTGATCTGGAAATGGCTTCTGCATTTTCACAGTTTGGATTTAAACTGCTGGTACATCTTGGGTCTGTGAAATCTGTAAGGAAGGGACTGCTTCATAGTGACCACCTCTTCATGGGTCCTTAATATCTGGGGAGCATTGTCTGCAGGGGGTTTGCCCCTCATTTTTCTGACATGAGTAATAAATGAATTGAATATATCAAATGGATCAGCCCAAGAGCCTCAGTTCTCATAGGATAAGTAAGTTGTGTATTTTAATTGTGCATGTTCTTCAATAAAGGTCTTAACATTAAGGTATTTCCCTGGGTTGTATCTGTTTGAACTGCAGGCAAACAAGAGGATCCAGTAGTTCCAGTCTTACCCTACTATTTCTTCTGTCTTGGAGATAAAAAATACCATGTAGCCCAGCTGAGGAATACATTTTTTCTGTATAATTACTACATGTTGAGTATCTTGAGACCTCTGTCCTGCAGGAATCACAGAATAGTTGAGGTTGGAAGGGACCTCTAGAGGTCATCTTGTTCAAACCCCTACTCAGGCTGGGTCACTTGGAGCCAGTTGCCCAGGTCCATGTCCAGATGGCTTAAAGGATGGAGTTTTTGGAAGAAGCAGCTTTGGAATTGGTTCCAGCTAAGTTACTGTAGAGAGCATTAATAGCTGCCCTTGCACATCACAGATGCAGAGCTCCCAAGGGACAGGTAGATGTATTTCAGCTCTGAATGCACCATCATAGCTGTTAGCTCCCATAATGACTGAAAACGGAATTAGGAGGTCATCCATGAGGAGCACATGTAAATATAAATGAGCAACTGTATTTTGCCTGAAGGATAAGATTTCTGTTAGAATAGGTAACACTTGGAACAGTCACCCCAGCACTTCAGTGTGTTTTTGTAATAGTATCTCCATTTCTTTTGGGGAAGGTTTAGGGTATACTCATCTATGCTGGAGGTTGCTTTCAAGGCCTGACTTAGAAGTATTCCAGTGCTACAAGTTTTTAGAGCTGATTAGTTTCCACTGCCTGGAAGAAGGGAACCTTAGTGCCAGATTCCCAGAGCAGGAATGTGCCAAAGTCATGCAAAGAAATTGAAGCAGCTCGTCTATTCTGTTGTTCTTCAAGAGAGTTTCTGGACGTCTGAATGCCCTACCCAATTTTCTTCGGCATTACAGCTTCAACAGTGAACTTACAGAGGCCATAGAGAAAAATAAAGTAGCTTTTGTTACGTGTCCCCTGTTCTCCAGATGTTCCATGCCATCAGGGAAGGGGCAGGGGTCAGCAGAGTATTGCAGTGGGTACTGCTCCCACAGGGGTTGCGCTACTCTAAGTTATAATCGAAGCAGGAATGTGCAGTGATCAGCATGAAAACTCTAGTTGTTGGGTGAGTAACCTTTATATTTTGTTGGAAAAGTTTCCCACTGAGATCATCTGACATTAAATTGTGGCAAGTTAACTTGCATTTTTATCAGTTTGCTAGAAAACTGATACAGACAGGCACTCAGGTGGTGAGCAGTGGCTGTTGCACTTTCTCATGCTTGACCCTTCCTCCCCTCTGCAGGTATTCTTACAGGGCAGTACATGTTTTTACATCAGAAAAGCCTTTGGTAGGAACTGCTATTTTCTGTAGTGTATGGTTGGACAGCAGCTAGCACAAGTCGACAGCTTTTCTTTTTTGAAGTGACTGCTGCATGTTCTTGCCTCCTAACCTTGATCGTAAGTGATTTATAGAAAGCTGAGGAGACAAGAAAAGTAGGCAATTAAAGCTGTCTGTGTCTCTGGAGCACAGACATGTTACTTGTAACTGCATTGCTGAGAAGAGAGCAGAAACAAGAGGTTTCTTTGCTTTTTCTTCTGTTAATCCAGAGGTTAAAAGACTTTATTAATTTATTGAGGTATTATGAAAGTAGACTTGCCTGGAATTGCTTTTTAATTTACTATTCTTTTTTAACCACAGTTTTTTGATAAGGAAACCAAATCTCTTTGGTTGTTCTATAAATTCTGGACTTCTTAAATTCATTTTCACAATAAAGGGCTTATCTTGCAGCAGTTTGAGCATTCTGTAAACAACCAACATCTCAGATGACCTTAGTCCCACTCAGCTATCACACACAACTGATTTAAACCCCTTTATAATGTCCCTAAGAGGAGATGCATTGTATTTCACAAGGCTGTGTAATTCTGTCCTGTTCTCTCTTGAAAATTTCTGTTCTGTGATAATTTTTTCTCCTTTTGATTTTCAAAAAGTTGGTCGGCTCCAGTCCCCTTACAGCACTGGAGTATTGTCCTTTCATACATTGTTTCTTGGCCAGTCCCATGTCATGGAGCAGAGAATGCAGGACAGATGCTTCACGCCTGGCATACTCAGCTGTTCCTGAGAATAAAACTACTACGTGCGACTGGCAAGTACTGCTTGAGGCAGCATATGCTAGCTGTTAATGTGTGACCTTTTTGTCCTCAGTAACTCGACTAACTCTATTCATTTAGAAAGAAAAAAAATTAGATATGAAATTTAGGTAACTGAGTTTCTGAACGTCAGGCCACTGCTTTATCATAAATGTATTTATCACTTCAAAATTCTAGTTCCAGATGTACAGTGTTAATTGTACACTGACTAGTGTGCAGAGAGGTGTGTGAGTAGGTAGCATGGACTGCTGGCCAGGTTATTGGAGTACATGGAACAGCAAGTGATTGAATTACAGTGGCTTAAGAAGTTCCTGTCTCCTCAGCTGAGAGTTTTACCACCACTGAGCCGATACACAGCTCAGCTGATCACACATATACCCTGGCTAGGTTATGCTATTTTAATTACTGCTTCCACAGAGTAAACTGGGAGTAACTGACAGACTGCTTTTCTGGATGCTGCAGCTCTCTGTGGTTGTCTTGGCATGAAAGAATTATGGATTTTGACTCCTTAATGAATAGTAACGGCCATAGAAGTGAGACATTTATGAGTCTTCTGGTTTGTCTTTCTGTTGCCCAATCACTGTGCAGGTGTCACAGTGAAACAGCATTTTTTATTTTTTTTTTCAGTAAGTCTGCCTTGCTGAAAGATGGCTTCTTTGGGGCAGTGCTGCAGAATGATCAAATAGATAAATCCTCCTTGGGGAGGTATTTTATATACAGACCATACCTTTAATAATTTACAGTTACGTATGCTATAGTTTTAAGTTCAAAATCTGCTTTCCCAAAAGGCCAGTCTATTCCACCTTGCGTCTTTTTGTTACCAGTGCTTTTATGGGAGTTAAGGAACTGGATTAAATCTGGTAGCTGAGATACAGAATACAAATTCTTACTGTGAATGGAGTTATACTGCTGGATAATACTTACTAAATGCCTAGCTTTCCATGCATTTTATAAAATCATTCAAGGGAAGAATGAAGATATTCTATACCAATGTAGGATTTATTTATCTTGGACTTGATGCCTTTCTGAAGAATTTCTTGTTTGAATGTGTTTACTCTTACTAAAGAAATGCTGACAGAGGCGTATTGGCATGTGTGAGTCCTTTCATTGAAGTGATACGAACAAAAATGTGTAACCACGTAGGTAAAACATACGAGCTCTTAAGATAGGAAATTTGTGAATTGTACTGATTAAATGTTCTTGTACAAATCAGAATATTTTTGAGAGTGGTTTTGGTTTTGTTTAAAAAAAAACCAAACCCAATCGTTTTTTGAGATGATAACGTGTATTTATTTTTGTACTCACTTTGTATGTTTTGTGATGTTCCTGCTGGACATTCCACAGGGAGACTTTACGTGGGAGCGTTGTTCCTGTTTACAGGCAGTGTTTCCTGGAACTGCTAGTCGGTCATATGGGTTTTACTCTGCTGTTGGTATTTCTGTTGGTGGTCATTAATGAAGTTGTGTCAAAGAGCTCAAACTGATAGGTTGAAGATGTAGCAAAGAGATGGGTCAACAAAAAGAGTGGAGAAACCCCTCTGAATTAGGTAGGCATGGGGTTGCATGGCAGTCTGAGAAAGATCATCTTGGTTTAGGATCTGGAAACAATTAAAGTATGTGGTTGCTGAATAAACCAGGTAACAGTTGCTTGACTTACGCTTGAGAACAAATGATGCAGACTGTGGCAGTGAAATTTTTATGCTTCACCTGTGAACTTCAAACACTTGCACATTCATTTTGAAACATTTGCTAAAGTTTGGGGGTTTTTGTCCTCTTTATGAAAGTAACTTCAGGATAGACCTTATTTTTATTTCTGACTGTTGGAGTACAGATTAAAGAATGGATAAATGTAATTCAGGGTGATTTTGAATATGTATTTTCAGAAGAGCTTATTCATGCTTTTATTAAGTTAATATTTTATGCAGAAAATCACTGACAAAAATATGTTCCTTTCTTTGTCTAAAGCTACTCAGAGTGAGGAGCGTCTGTGTGCATTTAAGGACCCTTATCAGCAGGACCATGGAATCAGTGAGAGCCGAATCTCCCAGGAAAATGGCACAATTTTGTGCATGAAAGGTAGTACCTGCTACGGACTGTGGGAAAAAACACGAGAAGGAGACATACATCTTGTAAAACAAGGTATGTAACATTTCAGTGTAAGTGCAGTAGCTTTGCTGGTCTTTTCACTTGTTTGTGATCTAGCCAGCTGATGCAAAGATGCATAGCTGCAAAACTAGAGATTTTTCTTGTGCCTTGTACAAATGTATAATTTTAAACTTCCTATTTAGCAACACCCTCCCTGCTGTTCTGCAGGGAGGGATGAAAGGTCTTGCCTTCAGAAATGGGTTTTGATTGCCATTCTCAGAGACTCTGTTCTTGGTTACTTGGATAAGAGTTAGTGTAGTATAAGGCTTAATGAAAACTGGTTTTTACCAGTGCAAAGATCCTATGCAGTTGTACTCATTATTGTTGTTCCTTGTTTAATCTGTTGAAAGCAGCAGTCTGACTGCTCACCTCTGCCCCCATGCTGCCTCTTTTCTTTCCAGGCATTTGTGCATAAATGATGCTTACCCGCCATTGACCATACTTGGGCAGAAACAGTTGCTGCAGGGATAAAGAGCCTGCATCAACCAAGAAATAAGTTATGATCCTGTAGAAGAGTCCAGTGATGCTGACAATGAGGAAGGACAGAGTTTTCAGAAATTACGCAAGAAGCATCAAAATATAGATGCATTCTTGTGGCTTAACTTTAAGGAGGGAGCTAGGTCGCAATTTCATTTAGATGGTGGGCCAGAAGCTGGTAGTATTGTCTGTGGTATCGGAGAAATGGGGAATGGCATACTTCTGCTTAGAGACTTAAGAATTCAGGTTTTGACCTATTGAGGCTGACAGCTTGACACCTCTGATACTGACTTTCAGTACTGCCCATAGTTCTTCCCCTTTGCTGTGGTGAACTGTGAAACAAATTCTTCAGGTTTTGGTTTAAAAGGTGGTAGTGAAGTCAGACAAGCAAATTATAACAGTTTTCACCCCACTCTAACATTTAATCAAATAATGGATGGGTTTCTAGAGGTGCGTTTAATTGTCCATGCAACAGGATTAATTTTATGCCTCCTCTAAAAAGAATTCTTTAATGTGCCTCTTCTTGCAGGTTGCTGGTCTCATATAGGAGACCCACAAGAGTGTCACTTTGAGGAGTGTATAGTTACAACCACCCCTTCCTTGATTCAGAATGGAACGTACCGCTTCTGCTGCTGCAGTACAGACTTGTGTAATGTCAACTTCACAGAAAATTTTCCACCTCCTGACCCTACTGATACAACACCTTACAGTAAGTCAAATGTTTCCATCGCTGTCATTTCATGGTTTAAATAATTTAGAGAAAGATCCTTCTTTCATGGTACCGTAAAATGTGAAGCGCGCCTTTTTCATTTCTATGCATGGAAATGGCAAACAGAACAGAGTTTTCTCCATGTGAAGTTCATCACATTTATATATTCCACAGTGCTCTGCAAAGACTGAGTTAAATGCTTACAGAAGAATTATTTGTGTAGGCAGCTACTGAATGCAGATTACATTTTCCAGAATGGTCTCTAATCTAGGGTGCTTTGGTATTTGGATGCCCAATTTCAGAAGCCTGTGGGGATATTCAGAAGGATTCAGACTTGTGTTAAAAAACAGGCTGGTAAATTCATTAACATTATGGTACCTTTGAAAAGTCTGGCCTGTCTATTCAGTCACGCTCCACAGATAGCTCTGAGCGGTGGAACTGGTTTGTTGAGGTTCAAATCAGGCTGTTGAGATTCTCTCCAAAGTCTTACAGTGCTTTGAAATCTGACTTCTTTCTTTTGCATATCTCTGGTAGAGATTAACTTTGGTATAAAATTCACAGAGCACTAGTTTGAGCAATGTCGTTTTCTTCCAGATTAGATTATCTGATAAATCATGTATTATAAAATCAACTTGGCAAATGGATCCAAATCAAGGGACCGCATCCCTTAAACTCCTATAATAGAAGCAAGATAGTGACTAGCAGACACACTGTTAGGCTGTGTTCTAAGAATTCAGAACCTCTAAAGAAGCTGAGTTAGTGGCCTAATCTAAACATTTGGATAGCCTTTTGGAAATAAAAATTGTGAAAGAAATTGAATAAAGGCAGGTATGTAAATGGAGGTTCAGTTGTTTCTGTATGGTGAGAGTTCTTTATCGATGGAAAGTGTATTGTGAACTGAAGATGTCTTTAATTTGATAGTGGCTATAGGTATAGGATGCAGAAAGAATAGTTTGTGTTTAGGAATGATATTATTTGAATTAACTTTAACATAGTGAAGATACTGGTGCTTTCAAAAATAGCTGTAGGATGGAGTCCTTGTAAGCAATTTTAGTCAAAATGAGGGCTTGGCATTCTAAAAAGAAAACAAAAGAAAGCAACCTTTTACTGGGGAAGTGTGTACATATAAATGGGTAAAGAATGTTGATAAGAAATGGTGCCTTTTGACTGATAGTATTATTTGTAGAACCGGTAAACAATCACCACTTGGAGTCAGTGCCTGAGCACTGTGCAATGCAGAACAGGCTCTACTTGGTAATAGTCATCTGGTCCCCAAATGTGACTGGAGTTAGTGCTGTGCAGGGGATTTAGGCAGGAGGGGAAGAAAGGTGTAAAGATAATTCCTTGTCCTTTTTTATTTCCTCAAAATAGGAAGCCAAAGTTCCCACAAAATTGACTTCTGCTCATGCTTCTCCAAGGGCTGAAATTACAAGCTGAATTAATTCAGTTATTGGCTGATAAGATCTTCAACTGATTTTTAAGTGGAATTTTTAATACTGAAAGATCTAACTTGACTTGCAAAGTGGTGGGGGAAATTAAACTTGTAACATAGTCCTTAATTCACCCAGCTGTAATTGAGTGCTGCTGCATACATTTCTACTGACTCAAACTGTTCTGTGTTATTGTGTCTCCTTCCATTTTCATAATACACAAATTTGGCTTTAGGCACAAGCATAAGCAAAGTAGGTTGCTGCCTAGCACAGTTGTCTGTCTGCTTTGGCTAGGTTAAGAGATGGAGATTGGCCGTTCCAGCAGCAAGCATAGCCTCATTTACCACTCTGGTGTTTTATTTGTAAAGCTCTACTACTGCTGCATTTGACAGATGAGGCTGCTCCTGGCAGTGTACATGCCGTACAGATGCAGCACTTGTGGAGGTAGAGGAAGTTCTAGGAAGCTGGAAGGGTGAAAAAGAGGGAGGCTGTGGCACACAGACCCCTGCAACATTGCTGGCCCCTGTTTCAGGCACTGGAGTCTCCATGGTCCCTTTCGACTCCTTCGGAACCCATTTTGGTACTGTAAGGTTTAGTTTTGCCATCTCGACATTAAGGACAGGATTCTTGCTTTGGCAAAGTTCAGTTTTCATGGAATTGTTGGGAAGCTTTGAATTACCTGTAGATGCCTTACTTGAGCGCACTTCCAGCCTTTCTGTTAAGGTTGTCAGAATGCTTTAAGGACACTAGTAAGTTTAGCTGTACAGGCTGTGTCAATCTATATTACTGTATCTTTTAGATTATTAAATATATTATTAATTAGATTATAAATGCGTAGTTTGTGAATGGCAAAGTAAGGCACATGGCCTCCCAGAGTTGTATGTATGATCCTGTAGATTTCAAAGCAGGTGTATGGTTGGTTATGCGAAACCTGATGAATTCAGCTGACAGATAACTAAGCCTTTGTAAAGGTTTCTCTGCAGATTTGCAGTAAAATAACCCAGAATAAAAGTTCCTGGAACAACAAGTGGAAATGGGGCTGTATTTTAAAAACTAACAGAACCTGAGCACACTGCTGATGAACCTGGTCAATTTAAACTTAATTCTTAAGGAAAATTGTAAGTGTTCTTTTAAAAGTATTTCCTTGCAGCTTTATGAAGGATCTGTAGAAACAGCAAAATACTGTGTGGCCTCTTGTGCTAAATCCATCTGGAAAAATAATGGAGGAATAAACAAAGTATTTTATACAGCCTTTCGGTTTTGTGTAGGACAGTTAACAGTCATGTATTGAAAAATGTAGCTAGATTAGAAATGATTCAAAAAGAATAAAAGTAAGTTAATTAGGATCTTAATACATTTTAGATATAACAAATTGTTGTCATAAAATACAACAATTCTTCTCTTTAATGTTACACTTAATTTTTATGTCATTATTGTCTTCCAGGATGTCAAGACATGTTTAGCTCAAAACCATATCTGTGTAGAATGGAGTATATTTTGATTGTTGAAGTTCATATTTGGTCAGGGCACGAATATAAAAAATCCATCCTATCTTGTAGCAAAACTTCATAAAAATGAAAAATAAAATGAAAGACAAAGAGGTTGTTAAAACCATGGATTTGATCCTTACTGCTTCTTAATGTGCAGCTGGTAATTTAAAGCAATCATACATCTGAGCAGTCATAATATTATTCTATCTTAAAGATAATTGTGGCAGATTTAAGTAGTTTTTGGTTGCTAGTCCCTCCAGCTAGAATTTTGTAAATGTTGTAGGATGGGGCATATTCTAGAACCCACAGGCTGGAGGTATTAAAAATGCAAAGGTTCAGGTAGCTTGTTTCCTGATGCCAGGAGAAGTAGAGGTTGGAGAATGGTCGTTATTTCTGATCTGAAGATTTGCCTGTGGAGTTTGGAGCTACTGAAATGTAGAAGTTAAAACAACCTCTCATTCTCGACCTAACCTTGCACTTCTGGTGAAAAATATACTTTGTTATTCTTTGCTAGTAACTCGTGGATGGATGAATTGTTTGTCCATCTTCTATTTTCATGAAAAAAGAAAAAGAGAAAAAATTAATCTTAACTTCAGCCAGGATATGTATATACCCCTTAACCCAAAATAAAAAGGGCCAACTATGGCTTCATGGGTAAACATTTTGAGATGCCAGGGATGGAGCATTTACCACTTCTCTGGGCAACCTGTTCCAGAGCCTCGCCACCCTCACAGTAAAGAACTTCCTCCTTGTGTCTAACCTGAACTTCACCTGTTTCAGTTTAAACCCATTGCCCCTTGGCCTGTCACTACAGTCTCTGAAGAGTCACTCTCCAGCATCCTTGTAGGCCCCCTTCAGATACTGGAAGGCTGTGTTCAAGGACAGGTTGGACAGAGCCTTGGGCAACATGGTCTAGGGTGAGGCAACCTTGCCCATGACAGGGGGGTTGGAACTTGATGGTCTTAAGGTCCTTTCCAACCCTAACCATTCTGTGATTCTGTGTGTGTTTACTCTACTAGCTTGGTCAAATACTTATTTCAAGACTTAATAATATCTGCCTCTTATGTCTACAAAATGTTTCGTAAATTCTGAGACTGTGAAGACGAATTCATTAGTTCTACAATCACTCGCAATGGCCATTTAAATAGAATTTAAGTAGCTAAACAGGTAAATGATCTCCCTCATTGGTCATAGATTGTGGTAATGAAACATGCGTGTTAAAATAACATCAAGATGAAAGCAGCAACAAAGCCATTTTTAATTATTTTTTTCCTCCAGGCTGCATTCCTGGCACTGCAGATAAATTAATCTTGCAGCAACTGAGTGTTGAGAATATATTTTTGTGTGACAGGTGATGTATTTGCATGATATATGGAAAAAATCCTTGGCAGCGACAGTTGATGTAGGGTTTTCTCCTCAGAGCAACAAATGGTGACTGCAATTTTTAGAGGATTTAGGGAACTTATATTAAATAAGCGCACTGAGATTTGGATATAGAGAAACTGCTTCATACAGCAGAGGAAGTTGGTTTTCTTTATTCTAAAACACTGATAGATGGGTTTATCTTTCAGTGTATCATCCGGGCCAGTGTTTTACAATGTATGTATGTAAAACACTGGTTTATCCTTCAGTGTATCATCCTGGCCTTTCTTTACCAGCCTTCTTGCTATGTATGCAAAATAGGTCTATAAAAGTCTGTCTTTAAGTGCTCACCGAATTCTCTGGAAACTTTGAGGAAAGCTACCATTAAAAAAGAAAAAAAAGGGGGGTAATTATTAATATATGTGGCTGAGTCAGGTTAATTAAGGTAGTAATACACAGTTTTCAAGTAACAATTGCTTCTGAGAGGCAGCAGTTGGATTCATGTTGTTGTGGGCACATGGCCCAATCTAACTCCCACTGAAGTTGAATGAGATCATGTCAAGCTAATTTTGGAAGGTTGTAACCCTGCTCTCACTCTCAGTTGTTATCTTGAACTGCTTTTTTCTGGAGAGCAGCATCCAATATTAATTTATATTTGAAATGCATTTACTTCAGCTGAGTTCTGCTTGGAGTACCTCATCAGCCCCAGGTTTGAGCT